CCCCACCCTTCATACATATATAAGTTTAATTTCTATAACTAATGTTATATATTCCCTACAATCCCAAAATTCAAAAACTCCATCTTTTCTCCACAATTTCTTTTTATGCAAATATCTACTTTTCTTATCAAGGACAATAATGGAAGGTGGTAAAGTGAGTGAAGGTTTAAAAGATCAATTAGGTGATGAAGACAAATTTAACTACTATGGCTATGGTTTTGTATTTTCTTTTGGAATCATGGTAATCCTTATAGTCCTCACTTATACTTCTTACTTATGTATTCGATTTCGATCGCGCAATAATCCAACCATCTCTACCATCACAACAACTACTACAAGAGTCAGAAATGGATTGATTTTTATTCAAGAAGGTCTTGATGAAGCAACTTTGAGGAGTTATCCAAAGTTATTATATTCACAAGTTAAGTCTCACAAAGGGGATTTTGCATCTTCTTGTTGTGGATGTTCAATTTGTTTGGGTGATTATAAAGACAATGATATGCTTAGGCTATTGCCTCATTGTGGTCATCTTTTTCATCTCATGTGTATTGACACTTGGCTTAGGTTACACCCCACTTGCCCTATTTGTAGAAGTTCTTCGCTCTCATCTCCTTTGGTCGAGATCAGTAATACATGATTTAGAATTTAAACGTTATGAACTCTGAATAGTTAAGAGACTAAATTTTGTTTACATCTTTTCTGTATATATAGAATTTGAATTGAACATTCAAGAAGATATATAGAAGATTTTCCTTATTTTTATGTTCATTTTGTTAATTTTTATGGCGATTGTGTTCGGGGAAATTTTTCTTTTATCATAATTAATTGATTGAGAATTTTCCCACTCTTTTCGGGATAACTAATACTATCAGGTAACTCTTTCTGCAAAAACTCTGACAATTGTGTTCATGCATGTTTACTTTATTGTTCCACATGATACACTGAAAAGAGCCACACAATAATGTGAATTAATTTCCATATGTATGACAACACACAACAAAGAAAAAGAGGGGCAAAGTTGTAATCAAATAATTAAATAAGGAATAAAACAAATCATGCATATAGTCAATTTTAAATAGAATAGATGGCTTTGATAGCTGGAAAAATATATATATAAAAACAAGTGGTTTAAATTTCATGAATTCCAAACCAAATAATGTTAGAGATCTGAAGATGCAAAGATATTACATTCTGACAAATCTTTTAAATTTTTAATTGTATTGATAGATCACAATCTTTAATTAATCTCAATTAATTAAATTATTAAACATCTCTTATTTGTATCATTATGTAAAAGCTTTTGATAATGTTTTTCTACATATATATAGTAATAGAATATAGACATACATGAAATTATGCGAAAACTACAAAATTTTCAACATATATTAATTTTCGAATCCATAACATCAAAAGTACAACATATTCCGTATTAAAAATCTTAAAAGTCGAACTAATCATTTTAAATCCTGAATACACCTCACGAAGAAGTCGAGGGCGGTGGCACATAGTTATTGGACGAATTTTGAAGGACAGTAACACTAAATTTCTGGCCTAATTCACAATAATTTAAGATGTTACATATGTAATAAAATACCCCAGACTCTATCAATGTAATATTTAATGGACCATCACTAAATACCTTGTAAGCTTGATTTCCTGTGCAATAACCATATTCTCTTCTTGATACTTGCATTACATTATAAAATTCTGGATCAAACTCAAAATCTGCATATATCATACAAACCAAAAAAAAAAAAAGATAACAAAAACATTAAGAATCATCACAAAAAATAATAATGTAAATGAAGATCAGTTACGCCTTTGTTTCAATTTATGTGACACAATTTGAATTTCGAGAATCAAATTAGTGTAATTCAAACATAGGATCATATTTGAGAATAAAAGGTATATGAAAAGACTGCGGTCACAGAAAAACTCAGTTGACTCTCAAAATCTGAAAAGGTGTCAGATTTAACATATGTAAAAAATGTTGCGGTCAGAATAGAGCGGGTATTGATTCTCGAAAATTTCAAAGGTATCAGATAAATTGAGACGGAGGAAGGAGCTAGGAGTATATTATATTAAGAAGTTGAAATATGTACAAAGAGTGTCTCCAGGGAAGAAAACTTGGGAAGAAGACCAATTTGTGTAGAAATTATTTGTAGGAGGGATAGTCCAAATTGAGTCTCCAACTAAATGTTGCATAGCATATGATTCATGATGCAATATTATTATTAATAATACTGCAAATTTTACCAAGAAATTTCGGTGATTTTGCATTTCCATTATTGATTTGGGAGAAAAAAAAAAATGAAAAGAAGAGATGAGGGGATTAATTAAGATGGTTGTAAAAACGGTTGATGAAAATGAAAAGTTTTGAGAGGATATAATGTAACTGTTTGTGACATAATAAATTAATAGACAATTAGTTTTGTTGAAAATATATATTTAGTGAGTGAACCAAACTAAAGTACTTCCACCATTTTATACTAGTTGTCTATTTTCTTTGTAACACGCATTATAATTTTAAGAAATCACAAATTCAAGAACGATCCATTCCATTATAATGGATCTCTCCTACCGCGTGAATCAATTTAGGGAAGGAAAGAAATGTCGATACCCGTGATTAGGTCGATTGGAATCCCAACAGTCAAACCACTGTGTTCGTTCCTCACCTTCCTTCCAATCAATCTAAAGTGTTCGAAGGCAAGAAAGGAGGAATTGATCAACCAACTTGAACAGATCATGCTTCCAATTGAAATAAAAAAAAACTTACTTGTAATAATATGGACCCTACATGGGCCTTAAGGGATTAGGGATTGAACCAATTATACCTCATTTTCTTTTCTAATGACAATGATTAAGATGTTAAAATCACTTATAAATGACGTTTTCTAAATGTTTAGTTACGTTTTTGTTTAGTTTTAGGGAAATAACATTTTTAATTTTTTATTATTGTGTCTGGGCCAACTTAGTCTTTCGCGCACCTCAACTAATTTCATGAGATATCTGTCACCTCCCACCAACAATCAATACTAGATAATTCTATCCATCAAGATTAAGACAGATAAGAAGAATTACCTAGTATTATTTTTATGATTTTTCTTTTTTATATCTGTCTCAAATATGCTCATTCCAATAATGGTTTTCCGCAGCGAAAAAAAAAGGTCTAATACGATATAAGTCATATAGAAATATATTCGATTTTTTTACCCACTTATTCAAGGATATATTTGAATTTTTAAATTGTTCAAAAGCACGTTTTAATTTATTGTAAAGAGTAATATATAAATCATTTAGATAAATTTGACGGTCAATAATGTTCGTTTTGTTTGTCAGGCATGTGCGCCTATTCACCATTATTTAGCTTTTATTGTCAATAATGGTTTTTCCTATAATTGTTGTCAAACCGTAATAATAAATTAATTAATGGATAATAACTTAATTGTCGATAAATATTATTTTCGTCCATTTTTAATTGTCTAAGTTTTCTTTTTAGAGTCAAATGATAATAACTTTGACTAACATTTTACGATATATTTTTTCATCATATTGATATGCAAAAAATTGAAATTTATAGTACTTTTCATATATGTTTTGAATATCTAATATTTTTTGTTTAAAATATCAAATTAATGTAATCCAATTTAACTTTGAAAATTAATCAAATTTACTTTCGAAAAACGTAACATGACAATTAAAAGTGGTCAGAGAGAATATGTTTCTTTAGAAGTATTTATTACTCTTTGTAAATCCCCCTAAAGTCTATAGTGACACTAAATCCAATGACAATTAATTTAATGCCGATAAATACTTTAACATTCTTTGTTAATGTGCATATTTATTGCCACTAAAAACTATTTTTATTGTAGTGATTACTGCTATGGTCAATGGAAAAAAAGTCTTGAAACTTCAATTATTTCTTGAATAATCCTCTTTTCAAAGAATGTAATAGCTCACAGACTACATACGAGAAGTAAATTGTACTAGGCAAATTTTATGCAACAAACTTGGTAGAAAAAGAATATAGAAAACTTCAAACTTGAGACTTCCCATTAATATCCCCTTCTCAACCAACTCGACTACCTCACGAGTAATTAAAATAATACATTACAGATTCATAAGTTGGTACCTTTTCTTTTTGGAAAATGTATAGTTACATTTTTGGATCCTTTAATAAAAGAGGCTGGCTAAGACTAAAAGGCATGAAAGGCCCCTCCAATAGTTTTATTACCGTTACGGCCTGCCTTACTACATCCCCCAAAGTCCAAAACAAAGTCAAATAATCTTTGACAATGTTGCATACTTGCTAGCAGGGAAGATGCATTTTTTTTCTTCCCTATGAACCTCATTGTGCCGGTGCATTACGTAAACTCAAAATCTTTGATTAAGAATAAAAAATTTCATAAATTTCACTATATCCCTCGATGGTAATCAATAGAGAAAGAAATTGTTAAATAGACTTTGAGCCTATAGAATGTGAACAATCTATTCGAGGCCCATATCAGGGCACAAAATAGACTTTTGGCCTAAATCAATCCAAAAAATAGCTCAAAAGGAGAATTATTTAAGTCATATAAGGAATCCAGAGATCTCATTCCACGTCAGTGATGTGAGATACATTGTTGTTAATATGAGAACATACAATTCCAAGTAACACATATTTTTAGTTTTACGTTTTTTTACAAAAAATATTAACGTTTACACATAATAAATCTAAAAAAATATCACACAAAAAATTCATCGAAGTCATTTTCTTCTATTCAAAATCATAAGACCATAACAGATCCTTTCATCGACCCTAACACAAAAAAGCACATGTTAGTATACATTATTTATCATAGGGGGACTAAGATGCTAAGGGTGTATGATTTCCTACCATGTACCCTAAAATCATAATAATAATTCCACCCCCAACAAAATAATTTTCAAATTTAAAAAATGCCACTCAGCAGTTTCTAGCCGTTAACACACCTCAGCATCATCTTTCTCCTCTGTACATCAAAACAACAATTTTCACTCACTAAAATCCAAGATTTTTGCTACCCAATACTCATCTCTTATTGTTAATCCCAAATCTTGAATCTTTTTCAAAACCCCATTTTCAAAATCTGCAGATTTTGAGTACTTACAGTTTGAGAATTTCAAGAAATGAAGACTATGAAGGGAAAGCTTTTGAAGAAATTGAAGACAATGAAAACAATTGGGTATTTGAAACCAGAAAGAGTCCTCTTTTCAAATGCATCAGATGGGTATATTCATTCTTCGCCGCAAAAATCGAATTCTTCCAGATTTAACTGTCAATCTCCATTAACCCCTGTTCAGAAGAATGTTCAGAGCAGTGTAGAAGATCAAGAAGCTGAGATTATTGATGTTTCTGAGCTAATGAAGGATCTTGAAGACGAAGAAATGGAAATCGAAGACGATAAAGAGAACCTAAGGCCTGTTGTTGTAAAGGTGAAAAAGATTGAATCTTTAAGAGAAAATGTTGAGAATTTTATTAGCCCATTGAAGCCAAAGAATGAGAATTTTACTACCCCTTTATTAGACTTTGATGTATCGAATTTTAGGCGGCCCGATTTGGATTCAGGTACTCTGTTTGATCCTAATCTTCTTGCTTTATTTGAGGAAGCAGTGATGGTAGTTAAAGCTCAAGAAGAAGAGCGAAAGGCGAAAATTGAGGAAAAGATTTTCAAACCACTAGAAGATGATGAAGAAAAGGAACCACCTTTAAAAGCTCGAAAACTCGAGGAAATTATAGACCCTTTATTGGAATTTGAAGAGAAATGTCCACCAGGAGGATGTGATTCAGTAATCCTCTACACAACTGGCCTTAGAGGGATACGAAAGACGTTCGAGGACTGTTATAGTATTCGATTTCTATTAGAGAATTTTCGTGTTGTGTTCTTCGAGAGGGACATTTCGATGCATTCTGAGTTTAAGGAGGAGTTGTGGAGAATCTTAGATGGGAAAGTGGTACCTCCAAGGCTGTTTGTTAAAGGTAGGTACATTGGTGGAGCTGATGAAGTATTGACATTGCATGAACAAGGGAAGTTTAGGCCACTTCTTGAAGGGATTCCAATTGATAATTTTCAATGTCCTTGTGAAGGATGTGCAGGAATGAGGTTTATAATGTGTTTTAAGTGCAATGGAAGTCGGAAAATTGTTCTTGACAATGATGATGATGAGGTTGAGTCAATGAAATGCCCGGAATGTAATGAAAATGGATTGATTGTATGTCCTTATTGTTGTTGAAATTATTCAATTGATTGTTTTGTTCATTTTTATAGTTCCTCACATTTGAGGGTGTGTAATATAATGTCATGTTTCTTGCATGTTTGGTGTTTGAAATGAAAGATGAAGGAGCCTATTCATTACTTGTAAGGTTCTTTTTCTTTTGGTTTTCCATCCTGGTATCTGGTACCTGCATTGGAGCTCGACTAAATTCAGATTCACATTGGAAAGTCCCACATTTATGAGGGTAAAGAGTTCCCTAACAAATGTGCTTCCATAGCCAGGGCTCAAACCCGCGATCACCTCTGGTTAAGGATGGAGTTCCCTAACAAATGTACATACCACACTCCACCACAACCCTTAGTAGTACTTGTATAATAGCTCGATTTTTGTTTGAGAAGTTTTGTGTTATGTTCTTCAAGAGGGACATTACGAAAGCACTCCGAGTTAACGGAGGAGCTATGGAGAATTTTGGATAGGAAAGTGGTGTCTCCAAGGTTTTTTATTAGAGGAAGATACATTGTTGGAGCTGAGGAAATATTTAAATTGCATGAACAAGGAAGGTTTAGGCCACTTCTTGAAGGAATACCAATTGAGGTTTTTGTTTATGTCCTTATTACTAATGAACTAATTCGAATGATTGTTTTGTTCCTTTTTTGTATCTCCTCACATTTGGGTGTATAACATTCTTTTTTACTGTGTTGAGTTCAAAATTCAACTCCCTTTACAGCTTTTGGTAGAAAGATTACTACCACATCTGCAAAAGGGAAATATAATGTCAAGTTTTTGGCATATTTGGTGTTATTATACACTTGTACAATTGATTGTGACAACAATTTTCTAGATGCAAAGCTGTGGGACCAAATATATGGTCATTTTATATGGAAACAACCTCTTACCGTGTACGATAGATTCTTATGGTCTAACTTCTTTTTTCCTTTTTAATATGGCAAACTAGTATTTAGTTTGAGTTTAAATTTTATGCTTTGACACTGTAAGAAACATTTAAACAACACTTATACACACTTTAACTAATTTTATCGAATATCTACTACCTCCTGCTAATACACATATCGAATTATACATCAAATCACTTATAGGTTTTAGGGAAAAGATTCAAACATGTCATCAAACTTTGAGAAAAGGCTCATCTATGCCATACATTAAAAGTTTGGCCCATCTATGTCGTTTCAGTTAACAAATAAAGGCAGAGTTGAACCTTTTCTCAAACGGAAATGGCACAGATGAACCAAACTTTTAACGAATGACATAAATACGTCTTTTCTCAAAGTTCGATGACGTATTTGAGCATTTTTCCTAATAACTAGAGCTAGGTATATTTCCTTGTTAAGCATTTTCTATGCAGCCTAAACGTATCATATTAAAAGGGGAAATTACAATTGTCCAATAGTAGATGCCTTAAAAGATATCCCAAGCAAATCTTGCTCTTATCTCATTCCATCAAAAGTGCCATAAGAACCATTTGAATTTCATCTTATTCTATTTTTTCCCAATGTCCCAGGCCATAACCTGTAGAACAAGGCTACATGAAAAGTAAAGAGCTATAGATAACAAGAGCCAAGAATTCAAATAAGGAGACTTTTATTCAAAAAAACGTCTTATATGCTTGTTTGTTTTTTCTTTGGTGCTGTTAGAGAAGGACCACATATTTTACATTATATTTTACCTCAAACCTACTCTAAATAAGTTGAAATTTTGAAACATAAGTTTCATGTACTATAAAAGGCAAACTTCAATTATTAATTTAGTAATATAATAATAAATTTATTTATCACCCTTTCAATTTTTTCATATATGTATACATTTAATCTTTATGATATATAACAAATCTTGATCACCTTCCTCACCTCTGTACTATTTCGTTCGCCACTCTTTATGCATATGGTATTCCATATACATGTGAATCACATAAGATACATACTAATATATGTATTTAGTGTGAATCTACTGTGATTCGCGTGTATATGTGATATATGACTATCTCACTCGTCTCTCTCCCCATCCTGCTCGTCTACCTCCCTATCTCGCTCGTCTTCCTCCTCATTTTAGTGTATCTGGTATTAAAAAATACACGTATCTAAGTATATCTACCTCAATATATGGTAGAAAACTCTTAATTAGGAATAAGATATGCAATTATTTGAAAGGATTTGTATAATTAGTATATATAGTATAGATGTATGTCTAATAAGGTAGATTATCCAAAAAAAAATTACCTTCATTTCAAAATATACTAAATTTTGTGATCTTAAATCGAATAATCTTGTAATTTTAAACGTATGGGTCAAGTAAAATGAAACGGACGGAGTAACTAACTTCCCCATAAAAGAGTGGCACAAAAAGAGGGACTATTACAGAGTGGAGTGTCTCAGTAGCTCCTTTATCCTCGATGGGTTATCGGCTTCATCATTATAATCACATTTTCCCCATTTGCAGGACCTCCTTCTCCTCTTTTCGCTTCAATCTCAGGTGAGTAATCTTTTTTTCACATTTACATACGCTTAATGTTATCATTACAATGAAAAATACGAATTACGTATAATACATTTGTCTATATGTATGTAACCAATTTTTTCAGGATTTTTTTCGGGTTTAATTGATGACCCATTTGATATATGTGTGTGTAGAGTGTGGTGTTGCAGTCAGAGTGGTAAAAATCAGGGGCAAATGGAGCAAATAGTTGTTAATGGCTCAGAGACACAAGTTGTAGTGGATGATTCTAATTTGTTGCAAAAGAAAATATCTGCAATTCGACTTGGGGGTCCTGCAAAGCTACAGGTGAATCTTACATTGTTGAGTTTTTTGTTTTGTTGGGTTGATGAATGATTTGGATTTAGTCCCAAAAGTTATGAGCTTTATGTGTTTGTTCATGTTACTTATTGGGTTGAATTTCTAATTTCTTGTGTATATGTACTCCCTTTGTCCCAATTTAACTGTCTTCATTTCTAAGTTGCATGGACTCTTCACTTTTGATGCTACAATACACTACTTTTGGAGAATACGACACACATTCGCTTACATTTTTGAAGGGTCTAAGCAACATATCTTAGTTTGATTGAACACAGAGTCTAAGAAATAAATGGAGACTTTTGAATCTAGTGGTCTTAAATTAAAAACAAGTGTAGTCCTTTAAATCTTGTGGTCCACTTGACAGGTAGAATGTTGGAATTGGAAAACATACTATATATAGAAAGAGACTCTTTTTGGGACAGACCAAAGAGGAAAGTAAGACACTTAAATTGGGACAGAGGGAGTACTTTTTGGGAGTGGGGGATGAGGATGTGGAGTGTTGATTTTAAGACATTGTTGTATTGCTTGTTAATCTGATCAATGGAACTTTTTGGTAACTGTATAATACACCATTTCTCCGTGAAGAGAGTTGTTATCTAGGGAGTAGTAATGTTAGTCTTGGGTGTATATATGTAGAACTTCATCGATAACTTGTTATTTCATGGTTAAAGCTTCATTGGTTATCTTGTGTGCGAGGATGAGGTAGCTTTAACATTCTATGCTTCTTGGCTGTGATGTTGAATTTGTGATAGGTAAACTTGTAAGTGGTTAGTTGACTCTGTACTGACATATACTAATCCCAAGGTCCTTATATAAACTACGACAAAAATGTGTATCTGAAGTGTTAGTTGCTTGCTAGCAGGATATACTTTTAAAACTCGAATCTAACCGATTGTATTTGTCCAAGTCATGGCATGCTTCCAGAAAAGTTCTGTTATCCAGGATCAACTATACACACCTTTCTGAAGTTTCTATCTGATGTTTAACTTCTTTTAAGTGCTAAGGAGTATGAAGGAGTCATTTGGTACATGGGCTAAGGTGGATATCCTAGGATTAAGTTTAAGATTAGAATTATACTGAATTTTGTTGATGGTAGTAAAATTGAACCATTAGTTTAAAAAAGAAAATAAGAAAATAAAATTGTACCATCAACCAAACAATGTATAAATCAAATCCAAACTTAATCCTAGGTATCCCACCTTATCCCATCCAATTTGGTATTATTTTATCCCACTTCCCAGGTGGGATAAATTAGTCCAAGGATTATAATACTAGGACTATAACTTAGTTCGTGAACTGAACCACCCGTAAGATTTGGTTAATTAAGGGTACATGTGCCCAGCTCATTGTCTCTTGTACTTCCTGAACAGCTGCTTAGTTGCATCTGGAAAGCAGAGGTTAGATCTAATATCAAGTAAACACTTGAGTTTGAACTATATTACTGTTTGTCAACATGATCTTGGTCTAAGTTCATCTCAACCAAAGTAGAAACGATCATGATTATAGGTGATCTTAATAGAATGGGACTGAGAAACACGTGGAGGAGTTAGGGTGAAGGACATACAATTGTTAGTCCTGTTATTCCAGTCTGGTGCTATTTAAAGCTTTTCTCATGCGCTCGGTTAAAACCAACTAATGGATGTTGGGTCTACTTTTCAGTTCCATTAAAAACCAACTAATGACTGTTGGGTCTACTTTTCAGTTCCATATGGTTTGAGATGATGCTATTATGTTAGGCTCCATAATTTATTTGACCTATGTACAGAAATATTGACATTTATTAATGTAAAGTACTTGTCTTAGCTAGAACCTCGAACATTTCACACACATACCCATGCTTATTTTACCTTGTTCTAATTGGTTTTTCCTTTTACTTACTGACTATTTCAACATTCTAGGTAATTGCAGATTTTGATGCCACATTGACAAAATATCGGATAGATGGTTGCCGAGGCCAAAGTATGTTATCCACTTCATACAACATTATCCTATTACAATAGCTTGTCTGGAACAGACAGCTATCAATAGTATTTGATATACGTTTCTTAGGTCACAAGTGAAGGACTTGTCAAAATAACGAATTTTGTAGGCAGTCATAATGTTGTACAACAGGAGGATCCTGAGTTCAATGACAAGAGGCAGAAATTATATGAGTATTATCATCCCTTAGAATTTGATCCAACAATTCCCCTTGATGAGAAAACCAAGCTCATGGAAGAGTGGTACGTGTTATGATTTTGTACTGCTAGAATCGGGTCCAGACTCGTGTTATATATTGCATTTTGAGTTATTGACAAGTGAAATAGATAATATGAAGTTCCGAGATAATATTTATATTTTATCGTAAGAGTAGTAGTATATCCAGCTCCCTTAACTCCCTTAAATCAGCAAATGGGGACCATCATCGGATTGGTGAAATTTAAAGGGATTGTAGTACCATGGCCCATGTGTTAATGTCTAACTTGTTTTCTGCAGGTGGGGAAAAACACATGCTCTTCTCATTGAAGGAGGCGTTACATACAATGGAATTCAAAATTCCGTGGCTAAAGCCAGAATTGCATTCAGGGATGGTGTAACTGAACTTCTTGAACTTTTGGAGGTACAGTTAGCCACCATCAGTTGTTGTTTTCTGAGACATCTTGGGATGATGTTGATGAAGGCCAATGCAACAAATATGAACCATTGTGATTTCCTTGTGTGATCTAAATTATTGGAAAGAAATTTGATGGTATTAGTTTATCAAAAATCCAGAGTATGGATAATAGGGTCATTCCAAGCACTTAAGAACCTTAGAGGAAATGCCTTGATTATTTTGTTTTCTATTCTTCTGTTTTATTCGACTTTTGAAAGTCCCTAGAATGTCAGGCTCAACCACAGCTCAAATGTTGTTTTAGAGAAAGTGAAATTGAACAGTGGTATTACTAAATGATGTGTTGGTTTCCATTTACTGTAGTTGCAGAATTCATGCTAATGCCAAATTTAGTAGTCAATTTATCCCAGAATAGGTCTTTTTAGAAGAATTTCCTTTTGACCTTCTACTATCTCACATGTGATTGCTTCAGTAATGAGCCGGGATTGTTTGGTATGCAGGAAAAAGGTGTTCCTGTTCTTATATTCTCTGCAGGTTTAGCTGACATAATAGAGGAGGTTAGTTCTTAAGGATTATCGGTGGTCTTGATGCATAACAGGTGTATGCGATCCTGTTATATTTGTCCAGTTTTGCTTTAGATATGATTCTCTCATCTTCTTGATCTGCCAGGTGCTGAAGCAGAAAGTTCATAGATCTTTCAAGAATGTTAGAGTTGTCTCCAACAGGATGGTGTTTGATGAAAATGGCCACCTACAGTCATTCAAAGGTATCACCTATCACCATTTAGAGGTGCTTTTTACTTTAGAAAGTGCTTCAAGCAGTTTCCATGGATGGTTAGGTTCATTATGTGTATATCTGCGTAGGTTACCAAATTTTAGCTATACCTCTAAAGTTTAGGAATTGGTCACTGGTTGTAAGTTTAAGCTTCAATGGAGGAATACTATGCTCTTAAGCTAAAGTATCACCAGTTGGGAGCCACTAGTTTGAGAGAGCTTCTAATTTGCCTTAGAAGACAAATCGCTTACCTGTATTGCAATGAAGTGTGCCTAAATACAGCTTACTATACAGAGGATTTTAAGCAACGACCTCAAGTAGATTGGTACATTAAAGTACTGTTGATTGATTGACTGAAACAAACAAAGACGAGTTCTTTTATGATCTTTTGAGTATTAGTTTGTTCCACTTATAAGGACTAAATTAATACGGTTAACCATTCATGAATTTGGATATTTATAAGGCTAACGCAAGTGCGGAAATCTAATACATGAAATCACCTGAACACCAAAAGTCTACATAATTAAGACTTCTTTATGTAATATAGATATAGACTAGTTTAGGACTGGATTTCAATCCCTGTAACAAAGTGATTAATATCTGATCATTGGTTGGAAATATTTGAGTAGTACTTACTGCTAGATACTAAGCTTTTACACATACTTGGTCTTTACTGGAACAGCAAGGCTTACAAGCAACGCCAATTGGTTGGAAATATTTGACTAGTACTTACTGCTAGACACTAAGCTTTTACACATACTTGGTCTATACTGGAACAGCAAGGCTTACAAGCAAAGCCAATTGCACATATTTTTCTTGTATTGTGGTCATTTTACATCTTTGTTTCTAAAATTAAGAACACTAACTGATACCTGCAGGTAAGACAATCCATGTACTCAACAAGAATGAGCATGCACTTGACATGGCTGCACCACTTCATGATCACTTTGATGACGTGAATGGACTGAGTGATGAGAAATCTGCATTAAAAAAGAGAACTAATGTGCTACTTCTTGGTGACCACATTGGAGATTTGGGAATGTCTGTCGGCTTAGACTATGAAACAAGAATATCTGTGGGTTTTCTGTAAGTATATCATCATGTCTCCTTATTCATTAAATTTAAACAATACTGAGATATCATGGAACACGACACTGCTCATAGAATGAAGTCATTTTTGTTTTGCTTTGTCTCACCTCAAGTTGGATATGTGATATCCAAGGTAAATGGATTGTAATTATAATTGTCGTAAGTTGTAACTCCTTAGTTAGGAGAATTTAAGTATCACATCCCATAATTGAAGTAGGAATTGTTCCACTATCGATTGGATTTGAAATCTTTTTCAGCTATATGGCTTTGAGCCTTTCTAAGAAAAGTTTCCATATTTAGAGTTGTTCAACATTGTCAAGTCATGAACATTAAGATGAAACGAGTTTATATTGATGGCATACAAAACTGTCTTCCAACTACAAACATTTATCCCAACTCTCTAAACGAATTGACAAGTCCTAAAAGCTGAAGTAAAGGAAATTGCGACTGCAAGAAATACACTAGTGAGCATCAATTCTCTCTCAACCCTTTTTTTTATCCTCTGAAATCTTGGAAGCGTTCTAGTTAGACAGTTGACACATTGTCCTATGAATTGATATTCAATGGTTAGGAGATGACTTACCCCGCTGCATGTGGTGCTCCCTCCCTAACTAGTCTGGGTAGGGAGAGAGTGAGGGTATATAGTACCAAGCCTTGCCCCTTCTTTTTTACTAGGAGGTAGTTTTTACTCTTTGAATTTGTGGCTTACAAGTTACCAAAGGAGCATTTTTTGTCTTCCTACCTCATATTTAATTTTTTCAAAGGTCAATAAGCTTCCAACATAATACTTTCACTCTTCTGGAAACATGAAAAACTTGTTAAATTGTGGATTTTGTAGAGTTTGAGATTATTAGGTGGTTGTTCACTGATTACCTGCTGAAGTTTGAATACATATACCTTCCCAGAATCTTTTTCCCTAATGGTTTGACAAGATATTTTCTTACATTAGGAACTTCCTATCTTTTGCATTAAAACTTTTTGTAACATCTTTTCATTTTTCTCACTCAAAAAAATTTAAAAATTAACGAGTCATTCATATGGTGCTTTTGGTTTGACTATGTTTTTCAACTTATTCACAAATTCATTTGGAGCATGTAATTAAGAATAAAATGAATAATTGTAGACATTTTAAGTTATACTTCTTAGGTTATAACTAAACAGATCCTCAATATGTTATCTTTTCCTGATAAATGCTTTCCATCTTTTATGACAAAATGCAAATGGTGAAACTTGAAAGCCCCTCTTTTTACTTTGAGAATGGTGTGGAATTCAAAGCATTTGTCGAAGTTTGCTAGTACTGAGTTCAGAAAGCATGAGAACAAGAAAAGGCTTACAGTTGTGCAACATTCTAGTTATGTTGATTTAATGTCTAATTTTCGCGTAGCATATTCTGAGATTTTAATATGCGGTAGTTGCTAAACTTAAAGAGATTGCTGCAGGAATGACAGAGTGGAAGATTCTCTAGAAAGCTACCGAAAAGCTTTTGACATTCTCTATCTGGTAAGAAATTCTATGATACACTTTTAGTTCGATTCATTCTACTACTCTAAATTGCTAGTCATTTGCCTTGTGGACTCTAATCTTTTTGTTACATTGTAGAATGATTCATCCATGCATGGAGTACTCAAGCTTGCGACTCATCTTTGTTCAACAGAAAGCGATTGAATTGCATGCATTGCTCCTAGCAAGACTCTGTTTCCTTTCTTGGATTGGCAAACAGCACGAATGACCTCTACTTTCATACATTCTTATAAGAAATTGTGTCAAGGATATCTCCATTCAAGTTACATAGCAGCACTCCTAATATCGACAGCTTCTCAACATTTGTTGTCACCATCAGGCACTACCTCAATCTAGGCATGTTTACAGGCTTCACATGCAGAGAATGGAGAGAGTGGTATCAACTAAGCTCCTGTTGATGACCCTGAATACCTGTACCTGCATCATGAAACGATGCAGGCGAAATGGCTCAGTACGTGGAATGTCTCCGGTTTAGAGTAGATTGATTTACCTTGGGAAATAAAATATTTGGGAACTCGTTGTATTGTCCGTAGCTCATAATGTAGCTTGTTGCAATTCACAATGAAGTGGTGATTCCATTTATAAGGATTCTTAGAACCATTTTTAACAACATTTAAAGACCACCTATCTTACAAGGTACTGATGATACCTCTAAGCTGCTACAATGACTGGTGTATCTTGTAATTTCTTGTACGTTGTTTATTTCCTTGTTCGAGTATGAACGCGTAATTCCTCTCTTCACTCCCATTTACTCGTTTATTGTTTCTCTTTGTGAGTTTATCTTCCACAAATATTCAGGTTAAGTTGCACTTTATTTTGGCATTATATTATTAGAGCAATGTTTCCTGCATGGAGGGAGACTACTGGGCAGATGATGAGTTGATGATCCAAATAACAAAAAGGAGTAAGTTCCTCATTGTTAAAAATTTGGTCAGACATGCTCTTTAGACCCAATTCAATCTTAACATTCTGTATAATTATCAGTGTCAAGATATGGTTCAAACTCAACTAATTTCGAGTCGCACCTGGTAGGTCCACTAAGATGGAACGCTTCCGACAAAAAGGCAAAAGGAATCTCAACTATCACACCACATTTTTTTTGTGAGTAATGTAAATCTTTTTTTATATTTCAAGGGCTGTCCTTATGATGCTAAGGAAGTGCACATCGAGCCCATATGAAGGGTTTGGTTAAGATAAGCTAGAGCCTACAAAGTGCAAATGGAACCTAACCATATACATCGCTTAAACTTTCTTAAACTTCAGGGTGAGTGATGTATGCTTGTTGCCATAGTGGAGTTTTCCTGTTTCATATTTCAGCCTAGTTTATAGGCCATAACAAATGTTCTATTCGATGCACCCCTAAAGTTATTTCATTTTATATGATACTAGAGGAGTTGAGTTGAAGCTTCCAATCTATGTGCACAGGTCAATTTAGTAGAAAAACAGTTCTGTCAATGCTGTATGCTAGACAGCAACAAATACTGTGTACAAAAACCTCTTGACAATGCTTTTGTGTTGTTTGTATTATGATGATCCAACTGATGGTCTAGAGACAAATGACAAGTTGAGAGCAGTATAAAAGTCATTACTTATTATTTATGTCCTCCCCTCTTTGAGAGAACAGAAAGACTACTATACTCATGGACATTTCCATAGTCATTTACACTGGCACATCCCTATATAAGTGAGGAAGAAAACATTAACAAGACCACTAAGCCAGTTGCAACTTGCAATTATGTATGAAAGAAAGGATATATGGCATTCCCTTCATTCCTAAATTAGATGTAGAAACACAAAAAGAAGGATTAGTGATGTTAAGTATGTATACTCGGATTTACTAATCCGAGCTTACTCTGCTGCTGCTGACGTTGGTAATGCCAAGCTGTTATCAGTCAGTTCTTCCGAGGGTGGTTCCGATTCCAGCTGAGTGTTAAAGCTCTTCGTATAGTGGAACTCAATTTGCAGTCTCTGATGAAGTGGTGTAGATGCCATCAACCCTTTCTTCACATCAACTTGTAGTTCCCTAATGGGGATTACGGCCAAAAAAACTCTTAATGTACTCTTTGCAAGTCTCTTTACCTTTGCAAACAAGGCTCGGTTCGTCCTCATTTTCAGGTACTTTATCTCTGAAGGCAACGGTTGATTCTTCCATCTTTTCGTTGGTGTTATTTGAGACAATCTTCCCTTCATTAATAGCCTGCTTCTTATCAGTTTGCTCCTTTTTAGTGCTAGCTGGTTTCTCATCTGATTGTTGACTCGTGTTAGGTAGCTGCAAGATTGTAGTGTCTCTGTCGAATTTGAGGATGAAAGCCTGGTTGCAGCCTTCATACAGTCTCTCACCAAGTGTATCGATGATATAGTATGCATCTCGTTCAACCTTGAGGATGAAGAAGTGGTCATTCCAACTCACAATGTAAACAAAGCACTCGCCATGACTGGGACTGTCTTGAACAGATTTAGTAATCTCATCCCAAATGTTGTCAAAGGACATGGCATCTTTGAGAAAATCGAATCCCTCATCTTCGATTCCTTCCGGATGAAAAAAGCCAATGAATGATTTCTCTGGGACTACTGAGAGCGGGCGTACTTTAGCCTGGACCACTGTTTCGAGGTCAAAATGCTTATCTGGGAAACGCTCTCTGTACGTCCTGTTTTCACAGAGATTCCTCCACTCTAGTGAACCTTCACGGATAAGACTGTCGAGTTGGGACTTGATAGGCATTTCTTCAGGGTTGGAATGGAGCCAATCAGCAATCACAGCAACCAAGGCTGTACAAGCACTTTCACCTGCAGCCCGTTCATTTCGTTGATCAATTGAAGCAAAGAAGACCTCAGTCTGCAGCTTCATCTGCCCATCACGGCGTACTATCTCTTTCTGCTCCCAACTACCAACAGCAAAACTGTCTTCTCCAAACTCGGAGACTGGAAATCCATTCGCAGTTGAACCTTCCTCAGATTTATTCCACTGCAAGCAAGATAGTTATATTAGAGCTATAGAAGTATGCAAGGCAGTGAGGTAAGTTATCAATCTCTGGAAGCTCATTACGAGGTGATAAATAGTATTCCACCGTGCAAATTCACTTGGATCCTGGAAAGATCTTAGATTAAAAAACGGAAGTAAGAGAAGATGGAGACATACCACTGAAGAAGACTCATCGGATGAACTAAGCTGTCGGCGATCAAAATCTATATCATCCCCACCTTCCTCTCCATAATGCTTCTTCAACAACGGCTCTCCTTTGGGTTTAGGAGATCTGAAGCTTAACTTTCTCTTCCTCCAAGGGAGAATTTTGCGTTTTGAACT